AGAATTAGATATTAGGAAAAAATAAAATAATCCTCCTTTGCAGTGAAATAAAGCTCTGCTGATCATTCAAACACAGCTTTAACAATAAATTGTCTTAAACGCTGGACTTAATGTAGCCTACAACTGGTAATTCACCCTTTCACCCTGAAGGTTTGCACGCAGACTGCTGGTCACTATAGCAAGGCAGACAGTCTCACCTAGCTAGTAACTAACGAAAAGGCAAAGAGAAACATCCATAATTCAGAGACAAACTGACTTAATTGTGATTATAATCACTCCAACTGGTTTCCAGATACATTTAATCTGCAGCGAGAAGCTCTTAAACACTAAAAAGTCGCAAAGCTGAAGTCAGCTTCTTGTTTGAATTTTCTCGTTCCACCTTAAATGCTGTAGCAGTTACATTCTGGCCCCTCAGGCAGCATTTAAGGTGGAACGGGAAAATTCGAACAAGAAGGTGGCGAATGAGAAGCTGACTTTAGCCTCGTAAAAAGTCCAACATCGAGAGACAATTTACAAGAAACTATTTTACTTTTGCTGAAAAGTTTCCTGCCAGAGATGTGAGAAAAGCAGCTATAGCTGAGATAAAGCTTGAAGCAGAGCAAAGTAAATCTGCGTTTTCGTTTATATTATTTGAGATATATATATGAGACATATTTACAGCCAAGATGGCAAAATGGCCATAAAATGTTGTGGCTCCCAAAGTGGTTTGATTTTTGTTGAAAGGACAAAATGGCTCTTCTTAAAGTTTGAGTTGCCGACCCCTGATATAGGCCCTGTCACGCAAAAAAAAAAAAAGCTAAGGAAAAAAAAACATGCAAAATTTCCATGTTGTGCTGCAATTATAAATTTTTAAAGTTTAAATATAGAGGAGCTGCTTTTAGAATGATTAATCTGAGCTGAAATATTAGCTGGGTATCTATACAACACTATGAATGACATTTCACTTTAAATCAACTTGTTTCATACCAATAAATAGGGATGCACCAATATGGGAATTGTGGGCCGATACCGATATCCTGTACATTCCCCGTAAACATCAGCTGACGCAGCAATATCCATTTATACCATGTAGAAACTGACGCTAAATCTATCTGCATTAGCATTTCAAAGAAATGTAACATTTATTTGTATAGCGCTACAAATGCAGTAAAACGAATAAAATAGGCCAACTTAAGCAGCGCACAGTCGGCCAGAGCCCAAACATGCGCAAAAACAGAAGCAGCAGGAATCTTGAAGCTGGAAAATCATCTCTGCTGTTTTTATAGATAACAGTGTGTTATACAGTGTCAGAAACCACTTGAGCTCGTTTATTTGAGATCACTTAACAGCGACGTTGTTCTGCTCTTCCGAAATACGAAAACACGTCATCAACTGAAATATAGGTCATCTGGTTGATGGCCATAAGTTTCTTAAGCAGTTATCTTCTGATACCGATATGATTATGATGTCATCGTTCAGATTGATTTATTGGAGGATGTACTGTTTTCATTTTTAATATAATTTTTACAAAACACATCAAGTTGGATTACATCAAATCTATGCATAAATGATTTCGCCGTGCAATATTTGAACCTACAACAGAAGTTCAAAATGCCTTCACCCTATATTTTAAAAAAAAATCTCCCAAAAAAAAAAGAAAGTTTAAAAAAAAACTGATGCCAAAATGACAGCGTTTTGAGTGCGGCTGCTAAACAGAGCTCCTAATCACTGCAGTGTTTGTTCTGAGACGCCCACCCTGACTCTGATTAGTCCACATGATGTCACATGGCTGCTTGCATCACTGCATGGAGCCGGTGTTGCCAGATCGGACAGGTTCCCAACAAATCGGGTGGATTTTGGTTAAATTTGGTGGAGAAATTTATTTAGGCCTATTCCTTTCAGCTACACGGTCATTATTTTTGTGGGTTTTAAAAAAGTATGATGTATCAAAATGTATCAATTGCAATACTTAATAATGTAGCTGAAATTAAAAGGCCTGACTTCCAATCAAAACTTTGACAGACATACATTTTAGTCACTCCTTTTGAGAGGAGGCTGTTGCCCCATCCATCTGTATCATTCACAATTGATATCAGCAGTTAATGTAGCCAGAAGCTTATTATTCATGTCAGGGCTGTATTATTTCATATTACGGTTAAAAAGACCATAGACTGTTTTTGATGTGTCATTTTCTGGGCAGGTTTTTCATGAATTTTGGCAGGTTTTGAAGACATTTTGGCTAAAAAGTATAGAAGCAATCTGGCACCCCTGTGCAGAGCTCCTAGCGGTGCTGAGATGTACACTGAGTTTGTTTTTAAATATGCTTATAACAGCGTGTCAGGCGGTACTTCGATTGCAACATTTATACTTCTTATTCATTGTATTATTTGTGCTTAAACAAACGATGAAAGAATTGCGTAGGTTTTTTGTTGTTTGAAGTATACTGACAGCTTAAGACCCACAATATTAAAGTAGTAAAGCTCTAAAAAGAAAAAATGCTCCAGAAAGTCTTGAGTAACAGCGTCACTGTTACGTAATCTCAAAGTGGCTTCTTACAGTGTATGACTTACTGTTAACTATCAAAATTGACACATAGCTAAAAAACCGCAACAGCAGCCTGAAAACTGTGTGTACTGTACATTTCTTATAGATAACAGCATAAACCACAAGTCTATTTGAGATTACTTAACAACTCATCATGGTTTGAGGCCAGTGTGTGATGATTTAGGTCTGCGGTTAGTGCTAGCAGATGGCTATTAGCTTGCATTATTTGTTAGCTACATTAGCCTCGAAGCGGCAGTTTAAAGCTACAGAAGTGAACTTCACACACTCAACACATCCTGGCTGATTGACTACATATGGGATAAGGGGAGCTTTGTGGAAATTCCTAATAGCATTACTCATCTCTGTGTCTTTTTGGTCAGCTGGAAGAGAGACAGAGCGCTTTCATGGACCTCTGCCGTGTCTAAGCAGCGAAGGTCAACTACAGCTTTGCGCTGGAGGAGCTGATTGAGCTGCTCAGAAACTCGTGTGATTGTTTGTTGTGTTTCATAGTTCTGTGTTGGAGTTTGCCTGATTGTCTCCCGTTGCTCCCTGACCGCTCGGATGTTTCTCATACCGGATCATACTCAAGGGAGGAGCCTGAAGTTTGTTTGTGACTGCTCTGTTGAACCTTCTTGGATGAACCTCTGTGTTCTTTATTATTCTGTTCCAAAACACGAATTGCAACTTCATTCGGCCAAATTATAGGCTGTATTTCAGCTGATCTCGTGGGGTTTGAGCTTGCAAATAAAGAGGGACCAATCAGAGCGGGTTTTGTAGTGCTCACCAAACATTTACATCTTAGTTTTCAAAATGTTTTTAAGACAAATGAGCATGTTTTCTTTGTCAGTTTGCAAAAACAAAGTTTTTCTTTCTAAAAGAGCAAAACATTATTACTTTGAGAAAACTCCAAACGGCACCCTTTTAATCCTCTTGTTGTGATGTCAGCGCTCATCAGCACCCAAACACCTTTGGACCAGAAACGTTTCAACATGTATTTAGGTCAATCTTGCTTTTTATGGAAGACACTTTGATAAACATGAGGTTGAGTTTTGAATCCAAATATACCCAAAGTATTAGCAAAATAAAGTAGTAGGGTGTGAGAGGCCACAGTGATTTCACAAGGTTAAGGGGTGTTGTTAGGCAAGATATAGAAACAGCAGAAAAAAAAAAAAGAAAAATACACATACACACACACACACACACACACGTATATATATATATATATATATATATATATATATATATATATATATATATATATATATATAAAATTTAATTAATTAATAATTGTTACAATAAACAGTTGGCCATTTGCGAAAGTCTTGACTAGTTACTAGTTCCTAGCAGTTACTATTATGTCCATCAAACGTCCAGTTCAGGCCACCTGGTAGCATCTGTAGCACTTGTGCTAAAAGACTAAAAGTTAATGTTAGCACAAAGGAAAATTTAGAAGCACTCAGAGGACTGACATAAATTCAATTGATCATTTGGCAACTGACCGTTAAAGCGGTCAGTTTTTAAAACTGCCAAAATGACAGCGTTTTGAGTGCTGCTAAACAGAGCTCTTAATCACTGCAGTGTTTGTTCGGAGACCCCCGTCCTAACTGTGATTAGACCACATGATGTCACATGGCTGCTTGCATCACTGCATGGAACCAGTGTTGCCAGATCGGACAGGTTCCCAAAAAAAAAGGGTGGATTTTGTTAAATTTGGTGGAGAAATTTATTTAGGCCTATTCATTTCAGCTACGTGGTCATTATTTCTGTGGGGTTTAAAAAAGTATATAAAATGTATCAATTGCAATACTTAATAATGTAGCTGAAATCAAAAGGCCTGAATTCCAATCAAAACTTTGACAGACATACATTTTAGTCACTCCTTTTGAGAGGAGGCTGTTGCCCCATCCATCTGTATCATTCACAATTTATATCAGCAGTTAATGTAGCCAGAAGCCAGAATTGATCATTTGGCAACTGACCATTAAAGCGGTCAGTTTTCATGTCGAATAAAGAGGAGGTTTTAGCAACACAAACTGCCCCTGCAAATGAGCTAATGCTAAGGCTAACACTGAACCTAATCCAGTGCAATGTTAGCCGCTGAGGAGGACTCACTGTTTTGTACACGAGGTCTTTATGCAAACTTTAATTAAACAATTCAAATGATGACATGAGCACAAGATTAAAATGTCTTTTCACACAGTGTTTTAATCACAAATGTGATGCGCAGTCTTGTTTAATTTGATTGATTTATCAAGGTAACTGTCAGCAGCTAATAAAATACGTTTTGCCAGAGTTTTTCAAGCTGTAAGGCGTGTAAGTCATTGTTCTGCATCATTAACTGTTGACTACAGTTGCCAATCAACATAGTCAAAGGCTGTCAAAATTCAGTTAAAGTGTTGATCAGATCGTACAACCGGAAATATCTGCTTTATTACAGTTGTTTCATGTTAGCTTTTGCATTTTTTCCTCTCCGTCAGAACGCCACAGACAGCTCGTCTAACTCGTCCCAGAAGAGGGAGCCCTCCGTGCAGACGCTTGCACCAATCAGCTTCTGTGAGCCGCGGCGACACCACCACTGCATCCTGGGACATTTCTACGAGCCACACAGGCACTCTGACCATTACTTTCTGGACCAGGTCAGTACGTTTCAGTAACCACACGTGTGCTTATTCTCAGTTCTGCCTACCTTTGTATGCAGTTTTATTATATTCCATCTGATTCTGCTCTTCAGGTCTTTTCTATTCCATCCTGTTCTGCTCTATGCAACTATATTCTGTTCTATCATATTCTACGCTATGCAATTCTATTTCATTGCAATTGCATTACTTTTTATGTTGTTCTGCTCTATGCAGTTCTATTTTATATTGCTCTATACTATTAACTATACAATTATTCTCTTCTATTTCGTTCTGTTTGATTCGGTTCTATTCTATAGTTTTGCGTTCTGCTCACTCAGTTTTCTCCTGTGCGTCTGTTTTTTCCTTCCAGACGGCACCCATGTTCCCCCGTCACGTGACCTTCCCTCCAGAGGAGGAAGAGATAGTGCGGATAAATCCGCGCGAGCGTGCCTGGCTAACGGGTTATGAGGACTACCGTCACGCCACCACCGCCACGCGGGACAAACTCCTACTACGCCCCGACCCCACGGACGCTTACGTCACTTTCGCCAAGAGCGAGGCGCCCAAACACGACTATACTTATCCGTACCCACTGGGCGGAGACTCGCGTGACCCGTCACGCAACGGTAAAGTCGGCATCAGTGGTGGCGTGGTCACAGGCCAGCCCACGGCCAAACGGGAGGACAGCAGCCAGCGCCTGCGCTGCATTTACTGCCGGGACGTTTTCAACCCGGCACAAAACCGGCGCGGCCATTGCCAGGAGGCACCAGACACAGTGGACACGTGCATACGCCGCGTGAGCTGCATGTGGTGCGCCGATAGCCTGCTGTACCACTGCATGTCGGACCCAGAGGGCGATTACTCGGACCCATGCTCATGTGACCCTGGCGAGGAACACTTCTGCCTGCGCTGGACGGCTCTATTGGGCCTCTCGCTAATCGCCCCCTGCATGTGCTGCTACGTTCCGCTGCGCGCGTGCCACCGCTGCGCCATAGCGTGCCACTGCTGCGGGGGCCGACACAAAGCCACGGGCTGAGCCACAGCAACTCTTATACACACCAGCAAACAGCCAGGAGCAGAAACGGAAAGGGTGGAGGCAAAAAAATGAAAAAGCCCTATTTAACCTGGATTGGTTTTACCTAGAGAGCTGACCCATCTACGCTCTGCTACAAATACTAGTGCTAGTTTGGAAAGGTTTAATAGAGTGTCCCTTTCAACTTGTAGTGCACAGCTGCTTTTGGTCAAATACGTAAATGTAGAGTGCATTATTAAGTTCAAATGTTATTTATCTTTTATGTGTGTGAAAAGTCACACTGTAACAGCTGATCAGGTGTAGTTCTTTTTGTTGCATACTTGAGCTGTTTTAGGGATAAACATTTGATTGATGCGCGAAGCAGAAAGTTCACCAGGTTCAGCTGTTTTAATGGCGCTAGCTTGTAGCTCTAATCAGGCCTAAACCTTTGGTCTGAACCTGAATACAGCCCAAGAATTTCTATCCAAGACAAACTTGACCTAAACCACATGATCAAGTTTAGAGTCTGAAAATAAAATTCTGTCTGAAACTGACCCAAACCAGCCCATCACCACAGAACAGTGCAGAATAAAATATTTCCATATTTCAGCCTGTAGATAAATTACCATATAGTGACAGTAACAGCCATGATTAGATCACAGCTAAATAGAATAAAAACAGACATTAGCCTTCACCTGTTTAGTCCTAAAACCTTATTTCTTTATGTAGAACATGTTACATACCGCTGTTGTTGTTGCTTTTAAAATAAGTCAATGGAACTGGACTTTTTTCTACGTCATTTTGGGTCATTTTTTGGTCCATTCATCATGAAATTTACATACAATGTAAGGAGCAACAGGCATTTTCAAATTATGTCAAAAACTGAAAAATGGCAAAAAAATTGAATAACTTAAAATGTACTTTCGGAAAAAAAAACAAATTAAATCTAAAGTGCACTAAAGTACACTAAACTCTCCTGAATCAATTTACGGTTATATTGTGTGCCAGAAAAGTGGGCCTCATGGACCTCGGTGCTAAGTTCTGTCAACAACATGAGTGACTCCATTGTGGCAGATTCAAAACTGCTTCAAGGTAACAAAAGCAGAGAGGAGGAATAAAGTACGAAGTAACTAAAGCAGGGAAATGCAGGTAAAATCTCAGTCAGGCTCTGTTGGGTTCAGACAAACATTTTAAGCTACCTAGCAAATTAACGTCATAGCCATGATGGCAAAAACAGAACGCTCAACAATTGATTACTGTGAGCTACAGCATAAAGCATAGGCTTAACGTAGCTCATTTACACATTAAAAGGACTAAAACTGATCTGTCCCAACTGAGTAGCCTTTCAGAATAATTTGAAATGAATAATACAAGCTAGATTGAGGTATTTTGACAAAAAAAAAAACAGTTGTGCGCTACCATTTCTCTCACAAATGACCTTTCAGTCTGGGCGTATTTGAGGAAATTACATGGATACTTTATCCTGAACCAGTCAGGCAATCAAATTCCTTACAAATACGTTACACAACATCCTCTGGTAAAACTAATCCAGCTCCAGTAGTGCTTAAGTGGAGGAGCGCTGGAAACGAAACGGTTGCTGGCAAACTTTTTGTTGGAGCTTTGTTTACGCTGGACATCTCTCCTGGCCTGTTTTTATTCTCTTTTTTTTGTTTTGTTTTGTTTTTTTTTTGTGCCCCTCAGCTTCTATGACATGCATTTTAAAAGATCACAGTAAAGGCATTTATATATTCATTTATATATAATAAAATAATTATATAAATATATAAATACAGGTACTTTTATGTTTTTACAATATTCTGATTTGCTTCCTGTCTGGTTTGTGTTCCATACGAGTGTTTTTGTTGTTTATTTTTGTTTTTGTTTGCTGTTTGTTTTATTGCCCTGGCTTGCCAAACTGACTCTGAGGTGGAACTCTCCTGTCTGAGGCACTTAACACATGTGTGACCATCCCCAGTCTGAACCGACAAATCTGTGCGTGAGTGCGTGTGTGTGCGTGTGTATGTGTGTGCGTGAGTGTGTGTGTGTGTGTGTGTGTGTGTGTGTGTGTGTGTGTGCGTGAGTGTGTGTGTGTGTGTGTGTGTTTGTAAGAATGCAGATAAAAGAATGAATATTTGATTAATGAAGCCAAATCTATGTTTGACTATGTGTAGAGAATAATTGCTGTTTCGAATGTTTGGTTAACATCCAGCCTACATTGCTGTCAAACTGTATAGTAAATGTATGTGTGTGCATTAGTAGGAATGTTTGCAGCCGCATTTACACTGTGTATGTTCGGAATTGAGAAACCAGCCTCAAATTAAAGGAACACTCCAGCGTTTTTCGACCTAATCTCCATCAGCCCCACCTGTAGTAAACGGCTGATTACTGCAGTTAGACGTCATTTAGGTCACTTAGTGAAAGAACAGAAAACCACTTGACCTAAAAGAAGCTGATTGGCGGGGGGTGGCGTTTCCCTCTCAACAAGATCTCCTTTAGTTTGCTTCCACCATAGTTATCCTGTGTTATATATACTTATCGTGCTATAGTTATACATTGGTATATACCACAACGTACCGTCTTTGTTGTTGGCTGGATAAAATATGTGGGTGGGTGGACCGTTTGATTTGACCACACATCTTTGTTTAGCTTGAGAAACTAAGTTGATAGTCCAGTCTTAAAACAAAAGAGGAAAGATGTAGGATCTGTATGAAACACTGTGGCAGGCCACGTCGCCTATTAAAATCGCCAAAAATTCTAGGTTTTATGGCTTACCTTACTGAGTCTGGCTAGCAAACCAAGTCTTTTTTATTAACTCATCAGATTTTGTGTTGTGGATTAACCTCGCCCTCAAAAACAGCTGACATGCAGGCCTCAAAACTTAGCCAGACAGAGCAACAGCAGTCACAGAGGATGAGGTTAACTGTACTATGTCATCGTTATGCTTTTGATGTAGGCCTGTGTGATAATGCTGCGGCGCAGTGATTTCATGCAGATCACGTGGGCAGTAATTATCACCACCCCCTTCTAGAATTCCCCACCTCCCTCATTCACTCTGCCCTGAGGCAGGTGCTTCAGTTTCAGTTTCAGCATCTGGCTTCTATTATAAATGTTTTTCGACTCAACAGTTGTCTGTTATTTTATTATGTATAGAGAAAGACGTCACAATTATTTTGGTAATTGACCATATAAAGGCACGTGCACAGATATACCCTGACGTTTGGGTGGGGGGGGGTGGGTTGAGCCCCTGCCCTTTTGCCCTCAGACTGTGAGGTGCCCTCTTGGTATAAAATAATTGTTTTATGTGTCCATTCTTCAAGGACCGTTTCCCTGAGGCTCAGCTCAGCCTCGGCCTGGGAATAGAGCTAGTGGATCAGCTCAAGTTCCACAATTGCAATTCGGCGCCCCCTCTGGCAAAGCGGTGGTGCCTGCAGAGGTCTTCTCCTCTCAGAAACTTAGATGCATGCATCACCACAGAGCTGGAAATACAATCACAAAGGCACCAATAATCTCTTTAAGAAAGCGTCGCATAGCATAATGTGGTAACTTTGAACAACAATCTAACAAATGAGTGTAAGGACCACTAATAACTTGCTATACCAAGTTTCTCTTATTGTAAAAAGCAGCAATTTATTCCAGGCTCTCTGGAAGTTCACAGCAAGTCGATAGCGGGTAATGTTGCAGGGTTCAAATCTCTGCTCGGGCAGTAATGCTAGTATTTTTGTATGGGGGGAAAACGCTTAACACAATGTTTAGTTTCTTCTGAAACTGTCTCTGTTGATAAGAGTGGTTGTAGTATGTTGTAAATGAAATTAAGTTTGATTCACATTGTCCCTTACACCCTCAAAATGTCGGTGCACAAGCGTGACCTTCGACTACAGACGCAGCACACCGAGATTAGGTTGAAAAACGTGGGAGTAATCTTTTAATTCAATCTATCTACAGGATGAAAAACAAGGTGTCGTTTTTGCCTTTTTGTCTATAAGCACAACACTAAACTTTGACGCATACGAACACTTCTGATAACCTCCTAAGACGCGTGTCCACGTCTCGCAGCCTGAAAATGTCCGACAACTCACAGCCAGTGGGAGGACTGTGGCAATGTTTTGTGACAACAGGGACTGTGAGGTTCTGTACATTATGTCTCTTTCTTTCTTTCTTTCTTTCTCTCTTCCCCTTCTCCATTTCTTTCCCTTCCTTTTCTAGTTCTGTTTCTTGCCAGCTTCTGCAATAAATGTCATTCATTCAGTGTAAGAGAGAGCAAAAAAAAAAAAAGAAAAGAAAATGCAGTTATATTTTTCTAACAATATGGACCCCCTGTTCAAATACAATGAAATATTAAAGAAAAGTGCCTGAACCGTCTGGTCCTGTTACGGTTTTTTGTGTCCACTTGAAAAACATGGAAGGACGTGGCATATCAGCATCAATGGCTATCAGCGTCGGGCTGATGTGAATGAATATGATTAACAGATGCATCTTGAAACACCACTTACCCTCACTGTGACTGTTAGCAGGGTAGTTTTTCCTGTGGGACAGTAGCATCATGGCCTACTTTAGAAGCTCATCTTAAAAAAAAATAGTTCGGCAAAAAAAATCTAATTTTAATCAATGCTTTACTTATCCCAGATGTAACAGCTAGCTGCAGGGCTAAATCATCACACACTGGCCTCAAACCATGATGAGCTGTTAAGTAATCTCAAACAGACTTATTTATGTGGTTTATCCTGTCATCTATGAACAAAACTTTTCTTTAAAAACATCCCCAAAGCGTCTCTCGTCCCTCTCAAAGCACCCAGATCTTCTTTAAGGGCGCACAAACTTGTGGTTGAGAGCACAACATGACTTACTGTGAGCTATGAACATAAACAAAACCTCACCCAGTAGCTGAGCGCTGCAGGCCGCCACTTTAGACAAGAGCTGTGCTAAAATATGATCAGCCATCACGGGCATACGGACGCTACAGATCATATTCACGATTTCTCTTTCATTTTATACATTACTGTTAATAAAGTTTGTGTTTAAAAAAGAAACAAACAAAACCGCGAATGGAATCTAGCATACACATGCCTGAATGACGTGCATTGACACGACACCTGTTGACATGCTTTGGCACGACACCTGTTGTCTAAAACTGTTGTTTTGAGCATTTTTATAGCTCACAGTAAGTCAAATTGTGCTTTAAACCACAACAACAAGTCTGCTCGACCTTAATGAAGACCTGGACGTGGTTTGAGCAGGTTGAGAGATGTTCTGGGGACGTAGTTAAAGAAAAGATTTGGGCGACTATTGACTTCTACACACTTAAAAAAGATAGTTCTTTAACAGTTTAGTAAAGGAAATGGTTCTATTTAGAACCATGAGTTCCATATACAACCATTTCATGCTTAAATGGTTGTTCGCATGGTGAAACGGTCCATCAGACTGTTGGAGAATGTGTTGTACATGGTTCTAAATAGAACCATTTTTGAAAATTGTTCTATATAGCACCAAAAAGGGTTCTTCTACTGTTACAGGCTTGGTGCTGGAATAACAGCAGAAGCCTTTTTGCTGTATAGAGCCATTTTCAACACATTATCAAACTGAAGAAGCATTTCACCATGCAGAGAACCACTGACTTTACTAAAGAACCCATGAAGAACCATCTTTTTTTAAGTGTGCCGTTTTTGTTTTGTTAGCAATGCTAGCCATAGTACCGGTTTTAACTAGAGAATCTGACACCAAAAACGTCTTGGCTAATTGACTACACGTGGGGTCAGTGTACAACTGTGTAAACTTGACTTCTCACCAAACCATTTAGTTGAGTGAAGTGCTTCAATAGCACATTTTAAAGCTTAGTAGTTCTAAAGAAGAAATATTGGTTTCAACATTGGAAAAAAAGTGGTATTGTGCCTTCGGTACGTCTAACAGATTTATTTATTTTTTTTTACATTATACACTAACGTAATGTATAGTCTTTACTATATGATGTACGTTTGTAGTTCATTTTGTATTGCTGCTTTTCAGACTGTATTCTGAGTTTGGCAACGATACTGAGAATAAGAAAGCAGCAGCGTATGCGTGTGGGACAGAAATCGTTGGCCTTTCTGCCTGGCTGCTCTCACTTCCTGTCATAATGCAGAAACCCATACATGGATCGTGCATGATAAGGCCCAAGGGTGTGTGTGTGTATGTACTGTTGCGCATACTAGCAGAGTAGCATGTCCCACATTAAAACACTGCAGCATGTCCCGATCAGCTGTTTTGCAAATGTGTGCATGTACACATCTGAGATACACTCCAACAGCTTGTGTATATACACTTTCTGTCCAAAAGTATCCAGACATTCCTTCTAATTAATGAATTCAGCTACGTTAAGGTGCACCCACTGCTGACACGGATGTTCACACAACTTTTAAAATCTCTCTAAATCCCTCTAGAGGGATATAAAGCCCCCCCAGCACTGGCCTGTGGAGCAGTGGAACTGTGTTCTCTGGAGTGATGGAGCTCCATCTAACACCTTTGGGATGAGTTGGAGTGATCCAGAACTAATTATCCAACATCAATACCTGACCTCACTAATGTTCTCGTGGCTGAATGCAATCAAATCCTCACAGCAATGTTCTAACATCTAGTGTAAAGCCTTTCCAGAAGAGTAGAGGCTGTTACTGCAGCAAAAGAGGACAAACTCTCTACAAAGACACTGGATTTCAGACAAAACGCTGGATGCCAAATGTAAGTTACTGTGAGGTGCTGTTCTACACTTTTTGGATGGTTTTGGTCTGAAACAAAATGATAAACCTCAAAGTGAGAGGTGGATCACAAAGCTGCACAGATGCTGTCACCAAAATAGCAAAAAGAAATGAGCAACTAAATGGTAATGATTAAAATGTAAATTCCTGTTCCCACTAATATACAACACTGTGACCACCCTTCACTACATTTCCAGTCAAAACAGCCATTAAGATATTTTTCAACACCTTCAAAGTTCAGTCTTAGACGTTGGTTTAACATTTTCTGCTTCGCACCATCCAATTAATCCCAAACACATTCAGTGATGTTGAGGTCGGACTCTGGGGTGGTCAGTTAATTGTCCTGAGGATACTTCTTGACGGCTTAATGCTGAGTTCTCTTCTTACAGTGGAAAGATGGACAGAAACTTGTTTTTTTAACAGTGTTTTAAGAATGTTTAACTGACCGTGACAGTTTTGGTGGCCTACCAGGTCTTGCACAGTTGTTAGAAGACCAATTTTCATGGGTACACAAACTGCACTACTGGCATCACAATGGTCCATACGTGACAGACTGCACTGATGGCATGACTGCACTCCTGCACTCCTTAGTAGATCAGTTTCACAATGGTGCCATAGAGGCGCAGTGTCTGCTTAATGGAAACGCAGCGTTTCCGAGTGCGCCCATCCTTCTCCCGGAGCCGCAACGGCGGCGCCCTCGGCTCCGTCCCATGCTGTGGGGGTCTCCGGACGAGCGTGTGTGCCGCCACACTTCCTCCAAGGCCGGGAAACACACAGACACACAGCCCACAGATCAGGAAGTTGTTGTGCGTGACATGCAACAATCAGGGTGGAGGGAGTTAGCATGAGAGAGAGTGTGTGCTTGTGTATGACAAAACAAGGGAGAGTATGAGTGTGTGTGTGTGAGTGTCAAGGTCAGGTCACGAACCCTGGTATCAACAGAAGAGAAAGAACAAAGAGCAGACAGCTAGGGGAAAAAACGGATACAGACTGAGAGAAGACAGAGAGAGAGAGACTCCAGCATCCTTCAGACGAGTTTTCCCACACTACTCAGGGGGCCTTGGAGAGAGCAGGGTGTACATGCACCCCTCAACCCCTGTATACTGCCACTCTACTGTCAGTCAAGTATTATCTGCAATTAATCCGCCAAACCCAAGTTCAGCTCTAACTAGAAGAGGAAGAAGGCAAACTTTTAGAAAATCTGATCAGTAATTAGTAAATCCTACGTCTATGACCAGTGTACTGTAACAGTGTACTGTACTTTATATGACTATACTGTACATCATAGAGCAGCACAGCCTTCTTTAGAAGGTGATTTTAAAGAAATAGTTTGGCAAAAAGTCAAAATTCACACAATGTTTTACTCATCCCAGATGTACCTCATCAGCCAGGATATGTTTAGTGTCCAAACTTTGTTTAATTAGTTTCTCACTGGAGCTACGAGGCTAATGTTGCTGACAAACATGAAGTCAATAGTCACCCAAAAATCCCCAAAACGTCTCAAAGTCTATCCGTCCATCTGACTTTTACTGACTTTTTAAAATTCCTGATTCCTTTATTACTCGGCTACACTGTAAATGAGGGTCTCCCTCTATGTATTCCGAGTTGAAATAAAGGTTGATTGATTGATTGATTGATTGATTGATTGATAAAGCATCCAGGGGACGTATTACAGAAACGTCCTATCTTTTTGTCTTAACTTCAGATCTGACAGGTCAAGATAAGAATTTTCACAAATTCATATTACAGAAGCAAATCTAATCTTGATTTAGGAATCTTATGTCATTTCTGTTACCTAGCAACCGACCATAGCTGAAACATAAACACGTAATCAAGCTAGTTAGCCAGGCAGCTAACGTTAGCTACCATCACTGATGTACAAAAAAGGTCAAACCAATTAAAACACGTGAACTGAAAGTTAAGAATATTGTGTCAGCGCTTCGTGCTGTTTATCAGTGTCGCCACTCCCCAGCTTCAGTTTCATTTCCCTAACACTTTAGCCGAGCGCGCTAACGTTATTCCTCCTAATAAACAGACACACATTCAGCTCTGTCTTCTCATTATTCACCACCATCACTGTAATATTTTATTTCTATTGTGTCTGCAACGTAAAAAAGTCAAACCACTGTTTTCAGTGTAGATAAACGTAGCGTCATTATGCTAATTAAATGGAACTCTGCTGTCTGTCACTGCACAAAACAATAGACAGTTAAATCAGAAGGTAAGACAGCTCTGGGGTGTCTTTAAATTAAGACAGAATTTAGGAAATTTTGTCCAGTTAGGATGTTTCTGTAATACTGTTTTGCTATCTGGAGTGAGGATAAGATTAAGAACTAAAGTTGTCATGGTGACTAAGCAGATAAGATTTCAGACTTAAGAAGTTTCTGTACTACGGCCCCAGATCTTCATTAAGGCCACACAAACATTGGCACAACACCTGTTGTCTAAAACTGTTGTTTTAATGATCATCATAGTAAGTTATGCACTTCGGGAAAAGAGCTGGAAAGCTTGATAACAGTATCTTGAAAACTCAAGGAGTTACAAATCCAATGTGCTTTAAGAGAAAGAGAGAGGTACAAAAGTGCCTCAAGTACATAGACTGCACTGATGACATCACAGCTCTATATAT